CAATTTAATTTTTAATAATTATATTGAGGTTTTTGGCTCTTGTTTTTGAAACATGAGAACTCTTATGTAACAAAGGAATCATATTTCAAAAAAAAATAATATATATATATATATATATATATATATATATATATATATATAAAAAGTGACAAGAAAAAGGTATACTTATGCAATGATTTTTTGGCCTCTGAGGGATTTTATCAAGGCAATTGCCTTGATAAAATCCCCTCAGAAAAAATGGAATGCTTTGGTGAAGTATATTTTTTTCTCTTATCTGTTTTTATTAATTTTGTCTCTTCTACAGATACAGTCCATCTGAGAATATTTGCACATACATGCACACACAAATATATATATATTTAACAAATGGAAAATGTTTCATTGAAACTAGATTTGATTATGCATTTTTCAAGGTTTCATCAGATCCAAATATAAAAGAAAGAAATGTGTGTGTGTATGCTTAAATAATGAATCATAGAACTTTTTACCTAAGCTGGCGTTCCTCATGATTAAAGAAGAAAGAAAATGAGCGACTTTTAAAAAAGCCATTAATATTTATTCTGTATCTTTTCTTTAAAATTTTTAGTTGATGTTGAAAGTTGTTAATATATTTTCCAAGGTTTTTTGTACTGAATTAAAGGTAAATCCTCATCTCATTTTCAGAGTGTCTCAAAGCAAGAAATTCATTTAGCCTTTTCTGAAATGAATCCAAAGCAAATCCTCATCCAATCCTTCTGAATAGGTTGAAAGTAAAAGCCATTCTGAAAATGAGATGAGGATTTACCTTTAATTCTATACAAAAAAAGCTGGGGAAATAATATATTTTTCCAGCTTTTTTGTATTGAATTAAAGGTAACTTTCAACATGTACTAAGAATTATAAAGAAAAGATGCAGAAAAATATTAACAGCTTTTTTAAAAGTCACTCATTTTCTTTCTACTTTAATCACAAGAAATGCCAGCTTAGCGAAAAAGTAGTGATTAATTATTTAAGCATACACACAAATACACATACACACACATTTCTTTCTTTCATTTTTGGATCCAATGAAGCCTTAAAAGGCAAAATGCAAATTTAGTTTCAATGAAACGTTTCCATTTATCAAATTTAAAAAAAACTTTGTTGTGATTCTATATCCTAATTTAAGCACACACACACAACCACATAGGTGTGTATGTAGTATGTATGTATGTATAAGCATATCTTATGATATGTAGTCCTGACATGGTAAAATGTATCTTTGACACATTTCATATATGAAGAAATATAACTTTCCAAGTGAAATTTATAAATATTTCTCAGAGTTTATCTGAGGGTTTTGTGTTTCAAATTTCTTGCAAATATTATATGTTATATTTGAGGAAAGGAAGATAAATGCAGAAAAAAAAACTCTTTATTTGATTATTCATAAAATATTTTTCATCATAGAAATGAATAAAATGACTTATATTCTATTGATATAAGCAGTGTTTGATTTAAGCTTCTGTGAAATAAGTTACAGTAAAAAAAAAAAAAATGTCAACAATGTTTTAGTGTTTTCATGCTTTTAGAATTCTGATGCAATTTTTTTAATGAGGAACTGTCAAGCTTTATGTAATCTTAAGGTCTCCCAAGTATAAATCTAACATTGATCTAAAGATTGTAAATTCAGGATAGTATACAATTTATTTAAACTGTTAGTAAATAAAACATTTGAGGAAAATTTTATTAAAGATTATTTCCTTATCATGCTGTGTTATCATAGTGGGCCTTCACAGACATTTGGCTCTTTTAGGATTTGTTATAATGAAGCAGGAAACACTGACCATGCAACTAACAAAAAGAACATGGTACAGTAAGTTAGCCGACTCTAACTTGATAAATTATACCTAATGAGGATGCAGCACATCTTTTCACAATTATTTGCTATTTTAGATCTCTATTGTTTCATCAAAAACAATGATGTTTTTATGTATCATTGTTATGTAGAGAAATTTAGTATTCAAAGCAAAACAACATTACATGCTTATAACACAAATTAGAGAATTTATGAAAAAATGATATATTTAAATCTGTTCATTCAAAATTTGAGCAATTACAGAAAGTACAAAAATGACTAAAATATTTGTTGGTTATGAATATTTGATAGGAAAGTACAGAACTATGGTTGGTTTTGTTAATATTTCACTTTTTAACTCAAATCCCAAAGATTATGATTAAAACTAATACAATATTTTTGAGGATGATAGAAGCAAGCATCACAGAATTTAAACAAATCCATAGTATTACAAATGTTTTTGTTTTGTATTTATCTACATTCTTCATGCTTTAAGTTTATCAGATAAGTAATGATCTCTTAGTGATTAACTATTTCTAAAGAAGATTTATGTGTGAATTGCTATAAGTTATGAGTTAGAAGTTTTTGATATGTATGAAATCATCAACTATATGCCTATTAATATGGTTTAATCAGATTTAGTAAAAAATATATCTTAATTTCATTTATAGTAAATTTAAATAAAATCTCACACAAATAGCATTCTGGAGCTCTTGAATATCTGAATAAGTAATTCATACATATCTAAACTTAATATAGTCTAAGATATATTTTCTAAATACAGTGTTTCTGTAAAAATATATATGTGAGAGGTGTGAGATACATATCTAAATATCAGCAGGAAATAGATATAATGATTGATTTCCTGCCAGCATCTTCAGTTAATAAGATTTCTTATCTTGAAAGAAGTCAGAAAAAATATGACAAGCAGTTTTGGTTGTTATCATTATTCTATAACAATGGAGATTTTACAGCATTGTTATTTTTGGGCTGTAAAAATATCCACTGTTAATTCCCCAGAAATCATTTTTGTAAAGAATATTTTATTTTTAATCAGTTATGGTGAAAGGAAAATTATGCCATAAAATATAGTAATATATTATTTATTAGTGGTATATTTCAGTATATCATTGCAATATTGTGAATTTAATAAAACTAACATTCATAATTTAATAAATCTTTTGAATAGTATTTCATATCTTAGATTTTTAATATGCAATTTACCTTAGTAAATTCAGTTAATTTATAAATATAAGATATTGATTGACAAATCAATTTAAGCACACATATTTCTGTAAATTTCTTATCTATTTTAAACATATATTTGAGGTTTTGTATGCAAAGTGAATTTAAAAACAGATTCATTTGAAAGTTAATTTTGTTAGAAAATGAAAGAATAAATTAATTTCTTTATTATTATTATTATTATTATTATTACTGCTATTACAATAATAATAATTATTATATTTTTGCTTGTTCCTTAGTTAGTATGTATGTTATACCCTGTAATAGCTTGCAAGTCCCCTGCCCACAAATTTACTTTCTTTGTCCCCTGCCCATAAATTCTTGGTATAGAAGTGCGAATTCACAAGTGCAAAGTTCACCTTTATCCACTGTGCCATGTGTTCAGTGGATAAAGGCGTTAGTTAGATCCAGGACCCAAAGAGTGTAAGTTCAATACCTGGTTAAGGTGGTGGAGAACTAGGAGAGGGAATTAAGCAGGAGATAACTGATAACTGACATCCATTAGACATAGCACGTGGAACTAGAACAGTCTATCCCAGTGAGTGAAATAAAGGGTTCAGTTTGACATTCCAACCACCTGAAGAAGGCTGGAGCATACAACGGCCAAAACATTGTAATAAATATGGTGACAAAGATGAGGACAATAGTCCGAATAATGCAAATAATGTACATAATACCTCATCTCAGAAATATAGACAGATAACTCATAGATGTTGATATGCTACTAAACAAAATCAAGCAACCAATAGGAAGTAACTCTTTCATGACATTAAGCCATATAATATCTGGCAAAGAAATCAAACTGTATTCAAAAATATAACTTCAGCAAAACTACAACATAAAACACACCTATCACCGACTCTAGTAATTATGTCCACACAAACATGTATATATACAAAAGTTGAGTATCGTTTACCATGTATTCAATTGCAAATGCAGAATAACATATATTCTTATTTCTTCAAAGCTCCCAAGAAAATTAAATTTCAGTATTAAATAACCCATAAGGAGTTGAAATGCTGCTAAACAAATCAATCAATCAAAAGCACCATTATTAATCTGTAAAAGTAATTTCTAGGCATGAGATGTGTAATGCAGGATTTTTTTTCCCATTTTTTTCATTCAGCAACCCAATATAAATAATCAATCTTTCTAGAGAGATGGTGAAGTTTGAGAACATTGGCTTATTTCTAGCACTCTGATGATAACTGGCACAGCTGTCACCAAAGAACCTAAAATATGGGGAAATGTTGGAATTTTTGAAAATGGTTAGAGTACTGCAAAGAATCCTAGAGTATTGAGGAGATTTGCTGCTACTTACTCTCTACTCTAAACCACCAGTTATTACTTGAATTATCAACATCAGAGAAAAGAATATATATAAAGAGTCTCCAAGGTTGAACTGAGGCTTCATCTGCATCTGGTATTTCAAACTGTAAAAGAAACCTGGCAAAGCCTGGTAATATTGTGTGGTATTAGTAGAGTGCCCTTGGTTAGTAGTAATGATATCTCAATTCTGTCTAACTCAAGTATTATCATCAAATGAAAGCTTTGTTGATGACAGTGATGCTGTTTTCACTGTATATATATTATATAAATGATGGATTACAGTGATAAATAATTAATAATAATGAAAAAAATAAATTATTATTATTATTTAGCATATATTGGTTGGTTGATTCATTTTTTACAGCTTATCAAACCTTTGTAGGTTATTTAAAGCCAGAAAATTAGATTGTAAGAATTTTTTTAGATAATAATGATTTAATGATATAAGTTTTTCTAATTAACCCATATCTGGGGGGAGAAGAGGTGAATTCACACCTTTCCTAAGGTTATTTGTGCATAAGTGAATATAACGAACCTGACTGGAATTGGAACTCAGCTCTCTGATTAAAAATTCCAAACCATTATCCATTACACCACATGCACATCCAAGATTACAGCACCTGGTATTCCTAAGCAGTCACCCATATAGATACTGACCAGGCTCAATGTTGCTTAACTTCAGTGATCATATGGGAACTAATGTTTCAATATGATGTGTCCATAAACCATTATTTAGCATAAAGGTTCTTATCTTCTTTACATATGTATGAAATCAAATATATACCATGACATTCAAAACTATATTGAATCTTTAGCTGTGCCTTATTTATATCAGAGCTATATTCCTTAAGGGAGATCAACTGAAAGGAAAAGTAATCATAATTCTTTATGTAAATCCATCTGATGTTTTCTGTTTTGTAATGTTAGTTAACTGGAAGAAATAGACATAGAATTGTATTATATAGTTCTAGTTAGTGCCTTTCATTATTACTTTGACAAAGCATTGTTGCCTGGCTGTGCTGGCCTGTTTTGGGAAAAATAAGAAATTGCCATTTACTGTAAATAAATGACTAAAAAGACACTGATGACAATTTCTCATGGGTGCTGCTATTTTGGTTTTAATTAGATACTTTTCATTACAGATAAACTTAAACAACAAAACCAACTTATAATCTAATAAAAATAATGCACTAAGCAGGTCATACTGTATGCCAAGGGTTGGCAACCTGTGGCACACCAAGCAATTTCCCATGGCAAACAGCTGCAATTTTAATATATACTAAAGTATATATACTATATATGACTATATAAAATATATTGTAGAACAGGTATATTGACCTTGACTTGTATAAAAATACGCATGCTGTTGGTACACTGAGTCGGCACATAGTCAGCAAAAGGTTGCCTAACCCTGCTGTATGCTACTATATATCTAAAGTGGAGTGGAATTGAAAATAGCACAAAACAATACCTAGTTTATAACAAAAGTGTGTCTTCTTACCAGACTTATTCAATATATACTGAGAGTCCTACCAAGATGCATTATTGGTGGCCACAATCTTAATAAAATATAAATATGACACAGTGTTGATAGCAGAGAAAGGAAACTATAAGAACTCCAACAGAAGGAAAGAGAGAAGAAAGGACTAAACATCAATTGCAAAAAGATGGAATGCATGGTTGTTAGCAAATGGATCAGTCCAGCATGCAAATTACAAATTGGAGATACCAAAATCAAACAAGTAAAACAATTAAAATATCTAGGGAGGGTTTTAACAGAAGACAGAAAGTGTGACTATGATATCTAAAGGTGCATCAGCATAGCAAAAGTTGGCTTTCAAAAGCTAAGCAAAGTAATAAGAAATGGAAAAATTTTATTAGAATAAAAGAAAACAGTAATGAGCTGTTACATAATATCAGTCATACTATATGGCAGTGAATGCTGGATAATCTCCTCACAGGTGAAGACTAGACTTGGGGCAAAAGAAATTAGGTTCTACAGCATTTTAGTATATTCAACATTCTTGCTGAAAAAATTGTAACCATTGTTTGTTGCATATTTCCACCCCATATATATATATATATATATATATATATATATAGGATTGTCTTCATCAAAAGCACCATTATTAGTCTGAAGAAGTCATTTTTAAGCATGAGAATACCATTGACTGAACATGTGAACAACAAGAAAGTTTTAGAAAAAATAGAAGAAAAAAGTACACTTATACTTAACATCAGGAAGTGGGAGTTGAAATTTCTTGGGCATTTAATGAGGAAAGTGGGCTTGGAAAATTTGATAGGCACATGACAGATTGAAGGCAAGAAGAATAGAGGAAAACAACACATAACTGACCTAACGAGCTTGAGTAAATGGATGACAGAACAGGGTTTAGGAGAGATAAGAAAAAGACAAAATTTATTAAGAGCTACAAAGGATAGGATATTATAGAGAGCTATGATTGGCAACATCCTGAAAGGACATGGCATATATGTTAACAGCAGGAAATAAAGTTTGTAAAGATTTATAAGAAGTGTTAAATTATCATTTTTATGCATTTTTGTCATTATTTCTTATAAATAAATAATACAGTGTTCATAGTATTTAAATTAACCCATATTTATTGTCTTTTTTGTAAGTTCTATAAGTTTTCATCTAGTATTCTCAAGATTGAAGAGAAACAAGAAAACATGGCTGATTGGTTGGTAGTTTGCTGCATAAGGTTAAAGTTTATTTATTGGAATTTTTTTTTTTGTTTTAGTCACAAGATAAAAACAAAATGGTGTTAACTGGGGCAACATTAAATCAACCTCTGTTATCCAGGTGTAAAATTTTAAACTAAGATAAGTCATGTCTAATTTTTTTTTCTACCTGTCATATGATCTTGCAACTTATCAAATTAAAGTGAAAAACAAATATATGATTTCAGAAAAAATCATTATTGTCTGGAAAACGTCTGATACTATTTATCTTGATTTTTGACTGCATAACAAAATTCTTAAATTCCAATCAAGCTCAATAGACTTTTTCTATCCAGTGTGTAGACATTTTTTGATCATCCCCTGAGTTATGTATTAAATAGATTGAATATTTTTATTATTCTAAGGTGCCTAAAAGATAAAAATGTATATGTTAGTATAGTTTTAAAGGAGTAACTTACATAATAGTATGATTTAATTAACTTGAATCTTCAAAAGATGAGCATGGATACAAAGCACATAAGATATGTAATGCTCTGTGAGTTGAGAATAGATAACATTGCAGAAACAAATTTTATGATTTATAATTTGGTACTTTTGAAACTAACTAGCCCACATATAAACAATAAGGAAAAATATATTTTTTTAATAATATCTAATAATATTCATTAAACTTTCCTCTAAGCACAAAATTCATCCAAATTGAAAAATATACATTTTTATCATGTTAGAAATAGGGTTCTGTTCATAATATAAATACAGTTTCAAATTGATCCCTGACTTTTAACAGAGTTATTTCTACTTTGTTTATATTTAGAAATGTGAAGTCTGAAATTACACTCAGTTTATTATTATTATCCCAATTTTCCTTGTTTTTTAAACAGATTGGTGAAAGATTTTTTTTGTTTTACATATTTTACAGAAAATTGTCGCACCTCACTGAGCCATGACATGTAAACCCCTGATTTAAATGGTGGAATTGGTAACATGTACACCACTTTCCACTTTAACATATTTAGTGTAGGCTTGAAGCATATTCACCTTTTCCTGAAATCAATTTACAATGCTTGTAAAACCCTCAAAGAACTTAATTTATAAAGCTAAGCTGTTATGATGAATAGTTTTGTTACTGACATTGCTTCACCTTTAACTAATTCAGCATGAAAATTCTCAGTTTCTGAGAAAATAATACATATTTAATCATAAACTATCACCAAACTGACTTTACTGCATTTTTATATATATATATATATATATATATATATATATATATATATATACTTCAATAAAATGTTCTCTGCCTCATCATATAGAATATTTTTAAAATAATCATGTCAGCCTAATCAAGTGTAATTGACCAATAATTAGCAGTTTAGAGATAATGACAATCCTAAATTTAACTTGACAAGAGATTTTCTTTTTGCTTGCAAACCAATTTTGTGCCCACTTTTGCATAATTTAGCAAAGAAACATTTTCTATCTATTTGTTGTTTCTTTCTTTCAACAGGCATTTATGAATGTATGGTAATTGGCTTGAACTGTACAATGTCTTGTGAAGTTACATCAGAAGCACCCCATTGTGCTTGTTCAAAAGGATATGTCCTTGCAGAAAATAAATATGATTGTGATGGTGAGTGTTTTGAATTTTGCCTTCATTTTCCAAACTAATTCAAACTTTCCTCATTCTTTCTGAGGTAAAGCTTTAAAATTCTGTTTTGCCATAACTCAGTGTCAATCATCATTAATTGTCAAGTTTAGACTTGGAAGAGAATATATCAGGTTTGATCCATATCCAATGTATTCTCTATTGAATTGTTCAATCAAATTTTGCTAGCTGGAGAGAAATTATGATATTTCTCCATCTTAAAGAATTACTGATAATCTGAGTTATCTCTTCAGGAATAAACACTTTCTGAAGCATGGAAAATTATAAATGAGGACTAATATTTTAAAAAAATGAACTTCAGAAATTTTGTGCAGAACTGTGTGCTTATATAGATTTATGTTAATTTCTGAAAAAGAGGAATAACTTTAATATGAATACACTGTATACTATATGATTGTATCTATCTAATTATTATGATCATCATGTTGTTTTAACATAATATATATATATATATATATATATATATATATATATATATATATATATTATTTGAAAGATGTGACTAATAATAAATAGTCTTAGAATTTTCATATTTTGTCATTTTTTTTTTTAAATTTAGCAAGTCTTGTTCAATACTTCTATACTGCAGTCAAAGAATTTGGGGCAACCTTGCATTTTTTTAAAAAACACCTTAAAATAAGATATTCTTGTATTTTTTAAATTAAAAGATAAAATTTATGTAATTACAGTGCATTTTCTTTTATTTTGACAAACAAATAAGGGCTTAGCTATAAAAAAATTATCATATAACAGCACCATATTTTCTTTTTGTTGATGAAACCACCACCTTCCTTAATTACTGATTTACAAATTTTGGCATTCTTTCCAACAGTTTTTGAAAAAAAGTAAATGATAAACCTTCCCAAACATTCTTCAAGCACTGAAAGGGTTCACTGTCAATCTTTGGGTATTCTTTTTAAACTCTCCTATCCAATTCACCCCATACTCAGGAGATTGAGGCAGCCAAGTGATAATTTCCAAAATTTTGTTCTTTTTTTTTACATGATTTAGAAGAGTGTTTTGGATCATTGTCTTGTTGAAAGGTAAATTTTTTCCCCATTATGTGTAAACCAGATGGCATAGCATGTTTTTTTTCATGATTCTCCTGACCTGAATCAAATCTCCAGCTCTTTGGTAATTTCAAAAAGTCTACTGATAGATTAATGACAAAAATAAAATGTTTCTCATACAAAATATTCATAATTTAGCAAAATATATTGTGGACAGAAGAACCCAAACTTTTTGGTATTAAGAGAAGCCTAAAGAAAGATTGAAAAATAAAAGCAAATACATTATAGTTACTGAAACTTTATCTTTTACTTTAAAAAAATACAAAAAGATATTTAATTTTAAGACATTTGGAGCCACTGGGCATTTAAAGAAATGCACGGTGGTTCCAAATGTTTTGCCTGTAGTGAATATTGAGAAAACTTGCTCAAGACAAAGGTCATACAGAATTATGGTTAGAATCAACAAAGACATGAGAAAATGAAAACTTGTTTTGATGCAGTTGAATACTCTGCACCTAGTTTTAAAAGCATGAAAAATATAGTATAACAAGGTAAAAGCTCTTTGTCCATTTGTATAAATGATAATGATGTGTTGTGTACTTTCCTATTTATAATTGATTTTTGAAATTTATTTGTCAGATCTTGATGAGTGCAAACAAAATAATGGCGAATGTGAACAAATCTGTATCAACACACATGGTAGTTACAAATGTGAATGCGATGATGGATTCCGTCAGTTGCTTGATGACCCATCATCTTGTGAAGGTAAATAGTTATAGCTTTCTAACACACCATGTACCTATTTAGATGGACATAGTTTGTTTTAAAAAATATTCATTTATAATATAATTTACAAATATTGAAGAAAAAAGTGTCATCACAAACGAATGGTAACTAATTTAACTTTCTTTTTTGTTCAGATATAAACAGATGGTGAGTGTACATTTTAAGTTGATATTGAAATCAACATTGTATTGATAAGCATTTATCTAATACTTGTTTAATATTGACTTGATATGCAAAATATATTAAGGCTTTCATAATTCATTTTATGAATAATTTGACACTGAATAAATTCCTAGAATAATAAATATCAAACTGAAAAAGCATTATGATATGAAAATCTCTGTCATAGATATATGATGTGATTAGTGAGAGTTAAAAAGGCAAGAGGCAATTTTTGATTATTAGGTGATCAAAGTATTGTCTAAAAATATCAAACAATACTTTACTAAAAATATCATGTAATGATATTAAAAGAAAATGTTTTTTTCTCCAGTAGTCAATGAAATAAATCATTAAAATCAAAATGATCTTTAATTTTAGAGGAAGAGAAGAAACTATGAAAAATTTTGTGATTAAACAATGAAAATTGAACTATCTACTTTGGAAGATACAGAAGATTGTTAATGAAGAAATGCTCAGTAAAAATGTGATCTCAATATAACCATTAAAGGACTGACAATAATTTTCAAAGTGGCTCTTCATAGTAGACATACTTTTGATAGAATGTTTGAACAATCCTTAGATATTTATGATGTTAAGAAATGTTTTACACTTAGTTTTCATCCTAAACAATTTTGCTACAAGCGATAGAGATTTTAGCAAATATGGACAAACGTGCCTGCAATAAGACATAACGACAAAAGGACAGTTTCTCTAATGACACCACTATTATTTTAACTACCTTCACTCTTTGGTAAAATTTATTGTTTTAAAAAGTGATCATTAGAATTGGAAGAAAACCTAAACAGATGATGAAAATGAATTTATACATTTTTTTTTTTGTTTTTATTAGATTTTATTCAAAATTACTATTACTAGATTACTAGAAATTACTAATTACTAAATTACTATTTATTAGATTGTTTATTTACATTAGATTGTTTATTTACACTCTTTATTATAGTGTTTATTTAGATTATTTATTTAAAATATTTACAATATTTATTCATTAGAATGTTTATTTACACTATTTATTTATTAGATTATTTACACTGTATTCATTAGATTGTTTATTTACACTATTAGTGTTTTTACTTACATTGTTAGATTGTTTATTTACACTATTCATTAGATAGATTGTTTACACTATTCATTAGATTGTTTATTTATACTATTCATTCATTAGATTGTTTACACTATTTTATTAGGTTGTTTATTTACACTATTCATTCGATTGTTAATTTACATAATAATTGGATTGTTTATTTACACTATTAGATTGTTTATTTACACTATTAGATTATTTATACTCTGTATTCATTAGAGTGTTTATTTACATGTTTATAATATTTAATAGATTGTTTATTTACACTATTCATTGTTAATTTATGCTATTCATTCATTAGATTTTTTACACGATTAGATTGTTACATTGTTTATTTACACTATTAGATTGTTTACACTATTTATATAATTATTTACTTACGCTATTTATTAGATTGTTTATTTAGACTATTCATTCATTAGATTGTTTATTTTTGCATTATTTAGTAAATTTTTTTGCACTATTTATTAGATTGTTTATTTACACTATTATTAGATTATTTATACTCTGTATTCATTAGAGTGTTTCTTTACATATTTATAATACTTAATAGATTGTTTATTTACACTATTCATTGTTATGCTTTTCATTCATTAGATTGTTTATACTATTTATTAGATTGTTCATTTACACTATTTATTCATGAGATTGTTTATTTACACTTTTGTTAGATTGTTTATTTACACTATTCATTCATTAGATTTACACTTTTTATTAGATTGTTTTTTACACTATTTATTAGATTGTTTATTTATACTATTTATTAGATTGTTTATTAAATTGTTTATTTACACTAATTATTACATTGTTTTTTCACCATTCATTAGATTGTTTATTTACACTATTTACTTATTTATTTTATGTTTTATATGAGTGCAGTCATTTTTACATGATAAATTTAGATATAATTTAACATTGATAAGTTGACATTGATTGTGGCATGCAAAGTACAAATTATTAATTTGTTTTTGTTAAAAAAAAAAGTCAATAAAATAAATAAATATCAAAGTAATAATGAATGCAATAGTAAGTTGACATTAAAAGAATGACTAAAATAACAAAAAGAAAATAAAAATAATACCGAGAATTCATGGATTCACTGGATGGATTGTGTTGGCTCAAACTTATTTCCCAAAAAATTGATTTGCTTAGAATAAGCTAAATTTAGCTCTTGGTTAAATTCATGAAGTACCCAGTAAGGATTCAACCTACTGTTTATGGCCTGTGATATTACAACCTACTATCACAATAGAAGTTGATTCTCTGATTTTCTGAAATTCCACAATTTGAGCTTTTGAATGATAGTAACCAATTCAAGAAGAAATCAGGTTACATGTTAAAACTTCCATAAGAAAAGTTGCTTAAAGAAAGAATTTTTGGGTTAAGTTGGTATTAGATTTTCCTTTCTTCATGAGATTTTTGTGAATTAGTTTTTATTAAGTTGGTATTTTAAATAGACCCTGTGCTTCACAAGGCAGATTGATCCAGCAGAGTTCAAGGCAGCATTTAGGGCTATAGAATGTAGAGATTGTCAGTCCATTGACCCATCACCAGTATGCTGGCCAAGAGGAAAGTTAGACATTAATGATATGTACACCTGGATTGGGATGGACATCACTCATCATCATGGCAAACATTACCTAAGACTGATTCACCATGGACTCGCACACAATCTAGCAACAACTGCATTGACAAGATTCAGCTGGTGTCACCAACCATTTAAAGGTCCTATTTTTTTGAATGGGGACCTCTTGCTGAACTTCTAACCAACAAGGAGACTACTTTCTGTAGTAAACCATTCAAGGAGTTTTTAGAAGGGTGGGGAGTTTATTAAACAGAGTTTTGAACAAATAATTCCCCTAACAATACAATCTTAACCTCTTCAAGGGTATAACCATTATCTTTCCTACATATCTTTGTAATCTTACCTCCTCCTCTTACATTCATACAACAACACTCTATCTTGAGTGATTCTTGGGCTTTGTATTGCATGAACAATTAGTAAATAAAGAACTTGTGAACCCTGTACTGCAAGCACATGTATGTTTTAATTCAATATTTCAAATCCACTGGCAGGGTCACATTACCAACCTAATTGTCTGGGACTACACTGGCTCCCCTGGCATCAAATCTGTGCTTATCAAAGGTACTCCAGTAGGTAGGTCATGCTGTCTGCATTCAAGAGCATAGCATACTAAGACATCTGCTAAGGATACAGAGGCTGACTATAAAATGATGCAGAAATTCCATCAAAACCAACCTTCATTTGTGTAAGATCAAATCAATTTAGCTAAAGGAGTATGTTGGAAATTATTCATGTTAGCAAACTATAATCTTTTAAGCCTTTGTAAATTTTGAGAAGACCCAACATCAAAACTTATCATGACAGGAACACAGACAGAGAGCAATGTAGACAGCAATTACAGCAACTTACTTTTCAGTACCTGCATTGTCCCAGACTCTACACTGCTGGAGTCAGGTTACAGAGCCATCTGAGAATTCACAGATGAATGCATAACAGTCTTCTTCAGGTCTGAACTTATATACTTATATATATATATATATATATATATTAGTAGCATGTCATTATGATGGATAATGTTATTATATTAATAAACATCTAAAAGAAATAGTAACATACAAAGATAATGTTTTATTCTTATGCTGTAATGTTATAAAAAGCCATTTTTTTTTTAACCAGCTCCGTCATAAACTTGATTTTAGAGCAGAGCAGTTATGTCCCCTATCGCTACTCTTAAAATATGACAGAGTACATTAAAATTTAAGATTGTAAATATAAAAGAATGAACACATCAGAAAATAATGACATAAAATGATAAATATGTTGATGATCAAAATGTACATGCGTTATACATGAGGAATGTCAAATTTGCACAAGGTGTGGAAATTCAACTGGCTCAGCAGTGTTATAACAGGCAATGGAAAGTATGACACTGAAAATGGTAATAGTAATATTAGTTGTTTCCTTATAAGGAAATATTCAGCATCCATTGATCAAGCAGCCAGTGTCACTTTTGGTTGAAATTAATAAAATCTTTCTCTTAAAATAATTTTTCAAGAGAATAAATTTTTCAAGTCTGCTGTTATCACTTTTTCCAGTATTGATGGGAGTTTCCTTCCTAGCCTTTTGTTTGAAGTAGTGAGGTTAGGTCATTATTTCCTCTTCGAGTACCATGTGCTATCTATTTTAGTTGTTGCTGCTGTTGAAAGTTCTCAAATAATGTGGTTATTTGGTACAGTTCTTTCTTTGTGTTTCTGTAGTGGCAGTCCACAAGGTTGGAAGAAAAATAGTCCTTGCTAAGAGCTACAGGCTTCATTTGATCAAAGCCATCTTTAACCATTGATCAGAGAAAACAATTGTGTATGGCTGACAGTTTTTAAACACAGGTGCACAGGAATAGTGAAAGATACTTTCTGGAATAGAATAAGAAGTTAATCAAAGAATAAAATTAAAAATGAAGGTTGCTGGACTATTATGTAATGTCTAACCTCATCAGTGAATGCTGGACAATTTTTCCATTGGTGAAGAAAAGACATGAAGCAACCAAAATGTAATTCTACTAATGAATATTAAAAATACCTTGGAGAGAGCATGAAACAAATGAGGAAGTTCTAAGGAAATACAAACTATATGGAATGCTCTGACTAAGCAGAATAAGTGTGTTTGTAACAGACTGCAACTGATATATCTACCAAAATCAGAGCTTATAATACTTTAAAAAATGTCATGTCTCATCAGGATATCAGTGTTCATCACTCTTTACAGGTTTCTTTTCATTATTATCTATGAATTGTTATGCATTCTTGGAAAAGATAGTGGAATGGTTTCTTATTGTTTTCTTAATAGTTTTCCTTCTTCTAAACTGGTTGCCACCCAAGGTTAGAAAGTTCAGTCTACTCTGCTATTTAACCCAAAGCTGGGAGGAGAAGAGATGAATTCTTACTTTTCTGAAGGTTATTTGTGAAAAAGTGAACAGCATTGGCCAGAATTGGAACTTAACTCATTGTTTCCACTTTTTGCTCTGATTACCATTGTGCTATACACATATCCACATGCACTTACACTACTATTAACCTCTAAAACTCTAAATGATCAAAGCTTGGCAGCTGATCTTTTGTCTGAGCAAGCTTTAACAGCTCTGTGGGGAAAAAAAACTGGCTCATTACAGTCAATGCCTTGAAAACCAAACTAGTGATATTCCATTATCACTGAGTGGAGCCAGAATTTTCACCTATCGTGATGAAGATGTGTTCTCTCAGGGAGGTCTCATGCCTTGAGCACCTATTGGGACTTAAACCCAACCCAGATTAGATTTCAAGTGGAATTCATACATATGCTCCATTGTTAAAAACACTGGAAAATGATCAGTTTCCTGTACCACTCCAGTAGGTACTTGAATTTTTCTATTCTCTACCTTTATAAGAACCTGATCAGGCCAAAAAATGGAGTACTACTAGCAAGTCTTCACTTTCCAGCCTTGATAGAATCCAAAGTTGTCTCAACATCCTTGTGAGTGATGAATTATTTTCCACCTTACAACCCCTTTCCCACAGATGAAACATTGCAACTTCTTACTGCTCTATTACTATTTCCATGGAAAATATTCAGACAAACTACATTCCTTAATTCCACCAGTTCTAACCTTCCACCATCTTTGCTAACATCCACCATGTCATTCACATTGTAGTGAACCAACATCATTTCCTTCATATTCCATTGGTGAGAATTAAATTCCACTTGAGCAGCTTCTTCCTATGAACTGCTGCTTTGTTGAACCAACTGTCAAGATTACTAAAATCTTAACCTGTTCATGTCTAGGGTTAACTGTTATCTTTCCCACATGTCCCTATAAACTGTGCCACTTACTCTGTAACCCTCTACTTTGATTGACTCTTGGACCTTGTATAAGATGAACATCATTGTAAAAGAATAAATAATTTGTTAATATCATTATAGACCATTTATCTTCTAAAATCAAAATAACAGTATTTGTCAACATTTAAAAAATATTGTCTTTTAGCTGAAATCTTGAACTCTCTTTATCAGTGCATATATTAGAAAAAAAGCACAATTTTGCTTAAAGTAACATTTACTTTACCAATAAGAGCAAGTCAGGTTTTTAAGAGTTGTACTAATTCATTTGCCTGCAGCTTTGATACTCTGCATAAATATCATGAGTATCATGGCTCATCTGGTAAAGACACCAGCTTTCATAGATTCATTATAATCTTGTCTGGAAATATATTTATATACATGTTTATTTTTTAATCAGTTTCACCACATGCAAGGCAATAAGGCCACTAAAAGACAAGGGGTTACTGGGTTTGGAAGAAGTAGGAACAGAAACATTAATAATGAGTGGGAAGCAAAAAGAATAATGAGGAGGATAGGAAATAGCAATTGACATGGTATTTAAATTTTTGCAGATTAAAATTGGTTGGAAAGCATGGAGCCAGAAGGGAGTCTCACAAGTGAGAAGTATGAGAAAAGAAACTGTTATGGCTACATCTAGCCAGCCCAACTGTAAATTGATGAGATCTTCATGCCAGTCTAATACTGAACTTAAATTTAAAAAGTTTAGGTACCATAGCAAAGAGCTCATTCGAACAGTTGTTGAATAGTTGATATGAAAGAGAAACAAAAAGTCAGATATGGTGAACTTGCAATTGTTTTAAATACTGTAGTATATTTTATTTTGCTTTTGTAGAGATTGACGAATGTAAGATGAATAATGGCAACTGTACGCACCAATGTATCAATGAAATTGGCTCTTTCCATTGTGAATGCAACACTGGTTACACACTTGATCAAGATGGACGCACTTGCCTAAGTGAGTAATTAAATAATTTTAGAAATTATTCAAGATAATGTAGATTTCTTTATAAGGGAAAATAGGAAAAAACAAAAAATTCTAAAATATGCTTGATGTTGTAATGAAAAATATATATTATGATCATTGTTTTTGACATTGTAGTTTGTACATCAGCGGTTATTTCCTGGTATGTTAAGAAAAAAAAACTAAAAAGGAAGAAGGTTTAATTCATTTGTAATGTTTCCAGAAGAGATTGGCAATGTTTTGATTTCATATGACTGTGTGGTAAATTATTGTTTGAATACTTTCTTCTTTGCCTTTATGGGTTATATTATAAATTGTATCATATTCAAAAAAGGCTATCTTGAAAATTGCCTCTGATAGTCATTTTGACAATTAAAGTGATAAACCAGTTTATACTATATTTTGAGAACATTGATCTTGAGCAAGATTAGGAAACACTAACATTTTTAAAAGGTAAATTTTAAAATAAGTATTCTTACATTAAGTTTAATTTTATCATCTCAAAATCAATTCAGGTTAATAATTTAATATTTCAAGATGATATTTTCTATTCTTCATTTTTTCTTCTTTTTTTTTGTCACAGGCCCAACATGTTTTAATTTTAAAGCACCAAAACATGGCAGAGTAGTGACAAAGGTTTGCCAGGATCCCAAGAAAGAGGACATTTTTACAGGCCTAAAATGTCAGGTGGAATGCTTACCAGGTTATCAGATTGAAGGATTAGATGTTCGTACATGTTTGAAGAATGGCACTTGGTCAGGAATCCCCCCTACTTGCATAGGTAAGGATAAAACATTTCATTTTAATAGAAATGATAGTGTTGTCTTCCTACAAAATCAAAGGATTATATACAAGGTTTTTCCAAGAATTATCCAGCCTTTCTTAGTATCTCAAGAACTGACTGTGCAGGTTTGAGATAATCTGACAAGCATGTGTGAATAAACACTTTCCTGTTGAGTTACACAGTATTGAGATGTCACTGAGTGAGCTTGTATATTGTATGACCATTGCATTGACAGCAAATCTGCATCAAGTTTGGACATGGTTTGGAAACTAATCAAATGATTAAGAAGGTTTTCAGTGATTATTTAATAAGCAAAGCTCAGATAAAACTTTAGTAGAAGCACCTTAAACTTTGCTGAGAATTCATTGAAAGTGACCTGTATTCTAGAAGGCCTTCAATAAACAGAGCAATTAAAAATGTTGAATGCATACAGGTTGTAATCAAAGGAAATTGGCAAATGCAAGAATTACAAGATTTGGGGATCAATATACAAGTATCCAACTATATGGAATATCTCAACTGCCTCTTCTTTACATACAGTAAATATATGGCTTTTGGTTTTTTTCTTAAGCTAAAATCACTGTTGAAGGAATTGTGGTTTCAGATTAAGAGGAATGTCATGAGGCAGTTTAATGGTGATTCAACTTTACTGACTATTTTGAATTTTTCTACTTGTATTGGTCTGATATTTTGGATGTGAAATGTCCATCATCAAGTTTTCATTGTATTTGCATGAAAGTGATTTTTAATTATTTTTGTTATCATGAATATTGGTCTAATTAAGTGCATTTTATATTTATTTTATTGCTGTATATTTTGCATTAAAATATAAAAATACTGGAAAATATCTACTCACAAAAATTAAAAACTGGAATTTATTAGTTGAAGTATTGTTAGTCATTTTTTACTTATATTTCTTTCATCTTAAAGCAGCTGCATTTAAGATAAAGAAATAATTGCTAAAAATGAATCATAATTGATACTATAGTCTTTTAAAAGAATCCAGTAGGATTTAAATGCTAATAAATACCAGTTTGTTGATAGAATCTGTAGTTTAAATTAAGTAATAGTCTTTGCTTTAATTTCCTAGTCTTCTTTTCTTCTCTTCCACTCAACTTTCTTAGTAATTGAACAAGTGGCAGAAAATTCTGTGTGGGGTTAAAGCTGAGTGACAAAGGTTCTCCAGGCAACAGACCAAAAACTCCCTAGAAAGAAAAAGACTTGGCTTTTATAGAATTCTACTAGGTGATCTTATTCCAATCAACAGGTGTGACATTTCCATTAAAAGCTTTAGCTGGTTAACTGTGAAGGTTGTGAGCTCACTCCCTGTGTTGGGCAGTACATTTTATTTTTTATCTTTCTCTTCAACCACAATATCACAAACAAAGACATTGGTTTTTGGTATAATTTAAATACAAAATAACTACTATCATCTTTAGACTTGGGTTTCTAGTATACTATTGCTGAGTATACCAGACACATGTAGGTGGCCTTAGTAGTATTTGCTGTAAGTGTAGATTTTACCAAAAAATTTATAATAAAAAATAAATACAGCAATAAATTTGCTTTTTAAGCCCTGCACTATATATCTATTAAATTTTTCCCAAATGTCAGTAATGGTGGAATAATGACTGAGACAAAATCCCATTTTTTCTTGTCGAAAACTCAAAAACCGTAGGTTTTATCATAATTTAATTGTCAATTTGAGCTCAGCATGTTCATTTACATGGAAATATGATGATTTGGGAAAAATTTAATAGATATTTAGCGTGGGGCTTAAAAAGCAAATTTACCAATACAGCTTGGGAGAAGATGGAAGAACATAAATTATGGTTTTATTTTCTAGAAAGGGAACATGCTATCTAAGTGGAGAAATATGTAACAAACCTTCTCTCTGACCTTGAAAAGGACAGCTAGTGGATCCTACAAAAGTCCTTACTCACAAGTCCAGCATGTCATATCACAAGAGACTGTGCTTTTCCTATATATCATTAAAACATCTCTTTATGGAATCTACCTGAAAACTGTCCTCTGTACAGCCTGAGATTCACTCACTGGTCGTTAAGGATGACATGACTAGCCAAGCATTATACATACTAACTGGGAAACAGAAGAATAGTTAATCCAATATTATTCTTCTGTATATTCAACAAAAATAATTTCCATAAGGATTATGAAAAATTTTCTCTTTTTGCCAGCTTTCAACACAATTCTAACCAATGTTAAAAGTTGAACTGGCAAATGCACACTGTTAAAAACCCAGAATTAAGCTTTTACATATTTAATGATAGTTCTTGACATCATAAAAATAGTACATATAGATATTGTATCAAAGAATATTTAGATAAATGATGAAAGGAGTAGAAAAATATTAATTCTGGCACAAGATGAGAATATAGTTAAAAAAATCAGTTAATATACTGTAGTTGAATTTTTTATCATCAGAGATTCATTGCAACTATATGTTCATAATTTCACTGCAGAAGTTTTCTAAGTCTAGCATATACACAAACTGACAGACATGCACAGATTTAGTATATATCGAATATGTTGTGTATTTGTGGCTGCTTAATAGGTATCAAGGAGTTCTGTTTGGTCAATAACATGTGCCTAATCTCCCATAGGCTGAACTCTTAAAAAAGGCCAAAAGTCTCTATGAACAATGATTTGCCATGAGCAAGATCAATATATTTTTGGTATATTGATGGTCATAAGTGTGGGAAGGAAAGAATATATTTGAAATCAAAAGTAATGGATGTGTGCAGGCATATCGTTTTTATATATATATATATATATATATATATATATATATATAAAATCAATAACCATCTGAGAAGGTTATATATTGCTAAGATGATGGTAGGCAGGTAAACATACATGTAGAGAAAAAGAGATGATAGTAAGAAAATAAATATATCTTGCGGACAGATTTACATAAATATCCACAAAATAAAGGCTAATATATATATATATATATATATATATATGTCAGATTTTATTATGCAAGGCAATGTTCTCACAATAAAATTAATATTAACAAACTGATGTTGGTAAAACTTTCAGGATATATTTATATAAGCACTACATGTCATGCGAGTTTCAACTTATAATGTTATCTATACTTAATAAAAATACCAATAATAACTTGTTTGGAGGATATTAGGTTTTATCATTCAAACTGGTGCTCCTGCTATCTATCTAGAGCTCCTTGATAAAATCCAGCGAAGAATCAGCAATATTATTGGCCCTGATCTGGTGTCTCAGCTTCACTCACTTTCCCACTGCCAGTAGGTATTTCAAATAAATACCTACTATAAAATAGAGCTGGGGTTTCTTAATCTCAGGGATTCATTGGAGAATTGAGCTCCAATTTTGCATTCATTCATATAGATTCTATAATATAGGTTTTACTTAATTAGCTATTATGTTTCTCTATTTCTTCAAATGTTGAATGTATAACGAATTATAATTTCCCCATCTTTACTCTCTATTAATTTTATCTTATAAATTGTACCCTGTTCTGTGTCCCATGAAATAAAAATAATTGTACAGAAAATAAGGCTCTACGTACATCAAATCATCTTTAAATTAAGTGGCAACAGAAGAATTATCTCTGAACTTTTAAAAGGTAAGCTTAAACATTAATTCAATAATTAAATGCAGCAATCAATTTTGAGTTCTTCTGTAGTTTTTGATGCCTATCTACTCTTCTCTAGCTATTGTGATGATGGCCAAACCAGGAGTCCTCCACAGGAGCTAGCTTTAGAAATTTAAAATTTTAAGCTAGCTGAAATTTTGGATACAAAAGGAAAATAAGAATTACTCTCTTTGAACCATGAAAGCAGTGATAATGGCTAGTATAATATATTAATATATATTTTAATGTCACATAATCTGGCAACCCTGAATCTGAGCTCAACGAAAATCATTCCCTGTACCTAACTTTTCCCGGGCTTTTGAATTAGTTATGAATCATTGACATCGGAGCAGTGGGAGTGGAGGAGTTGCTTGGGGACACACATGCACAAACACACACGCACATACACTGTACTTTATATATAAGATTATCTTCCATTCTTAAAACCATCTCTTTTAATGATGGACTAAAATTTTTGTATTGGTATATCTGGAGAAGTTGGGACCTTTGTATTAATTTGGTGTAATTGAAACATTTTATTGGTAAGGTTGTCAAGAGTAAGTTTTATAAATGTGAAGAAGCAGTCTTGGATGAATAGACTCTTTATATTAAAAGTTCTTTCTTATAAATTTTCTCACTCAAAAATATCTTGTCCAATAAATTACAAACATTGTCTGCATGCATTTTGAACCATCACCAAATGCAAAGGGATCTGCTTACATTAATAGTCCAAAACATTCTTCTTCTTCCTCCCAATGTCATCTAAGTCATGTTGGTTGACTGTTTCCATGAGGGGTCCAATTATTGACTCAACTTTCTGGTCCCTCCAGTGTAGCTGTATATTCATTCCCATTTCCCATCCTGGGTAAGACGATAAACTACATCCAGTAGCAAAGCCTCTGATCTGAGGAGGTTTTGAGGAGCGTGGAATCACCTTTTAATTGCTGGTGTTCCCAGGTCCACCCTCACCCGGGGTGGTAGCACTTGTTAGGGTCCCAGCTATGGGCAAATAGTTAACATTCAAACTTGTGTAGAAATAGGTTTTAATACTAGAAATACTTTATAATAAAAAAAAATTATTACCAGCAATAATTTTTGAAGGAAAAATTATTATCAGCAATACTTTTAAAAAAATTCCAGCAATACAAACAGCTATACATTCTTTGGAAAAAATATTACCAGCTATAGATTTCTTCAAGGAAAAATATTCCTAGAAATAGATTTTTGAAGAAAAACATTACTAGCAATAAAAATTTTGTTGGTATTAAATAACCCATTGAGGTTGATATACCATAAAACAAAACAAACCAAACCATTCTCATTTCACCTCCACTCACCCAACTTTAGGTAGGTCTTGCAA